GAGCGGTGTTATTTAAGTCACCCTCTACATGATGATTTGAATGCATCATAGAAAAATATTTGATAATATGTGTTTCAGAATTTAAAATCATTTATGGTTCTACAAGCAGTGTTATTTAAGTCATACCAAATTTCACGCTTCTTGGTATAAGACTACAGTGTAACTTCATACATAAAACAGGTTTATGAAAACTAACTAATGTTTTGAGTTTTTAAAACCTCAGCACTTCCAGTAAAATATATAACATAAGAATGCATTGTCTGTATTAATGAAAATTCTTAGTTAATGTTACCTTACATATAATTACATGTTTTGGTTGGTTTGAAAAACTAGCTTAGAGTTATAAATCTGAAATAGTAAGACTAAGAGCTTTCTTACTTTTCATAACTCTATTGGTCAGACTTGCAGTACAATATATACACATGGTTCGTGGTCATATGGAAATATATAGGAACCGTGTTGCATTACATGGGAATGAACATTTCTTAACATTTCAGGAGACAAATAACTTGATTTCTGTCATAATATTCTACTGTTCTTAACAATTGGTTTTGCTTTCCAATTTGCAGAATACCAACAATGTTGTAGAAACAACACTTTGAAACCTGCTGCCCAGAGAGGGTGTGGAGTCTCCTTCTCTGGAGACATTCAAAGCCCGCCTGGATGCGTTCCTGTGGGATCTGATCTAGGTGTTCCTGCTCCGGCAGGGGGATTGGACTAGATGATCTTTCGAGGAGCCTTCCAATCTCTAACATTCTGTGATTCTGTGAAACCTAAATGCCCAAATGAGATGCTCAAACCCTCCAAGCCTCTAGTACCCTGTTAAGGTTTGACTGATTTTTAGGGGCCATGAGTTCTTACGACCATTCAAGTTACCCTTTGGAACAAGTCTTCTTATCTTCAGGAACATACTAAACAATTTCTCTCTCTGTTGTATGTGCCACTGATTAATTATGAAAAGCTATTGCCTTCTGTCCATGTAAAATACCCTGTTTTGAAGGGACTATACACAGCTATTTGAGCCTACAGCTTCTCCTCCCGTTGTTTTCCCGTCATTTCTTTCTTCACGTCCCTACAATTCCCCATGCATTTGTGCTGAAGGGTAGAGACTAGCTGATTTTAGGAAAAAGGGGATATGTAGATCACTTGAAACTTACTTCACTCTGAAATCAGCAGTAGACAGAAACCAAAAGCAGGGGTCCAGACTGCCTTTGTCCTGTACTCCCAGTAAAGTGGGATTACTGCAAGCTAAGAGGAAACATTTCCCCCACGTACAAAGCACTGCCTAAGGAAGGCTCAGAAGGCAGCAAGACATTTCTACCCGTGGTAGAGGAAAAAACATGTCCATCAGTTGTAAAAGGCAGCAGCTGTTGGATTGCAACAGCCGCTAATGAAGTCTGAGTTCAGCTGGGGCTACTTCTACCCAGGTATTGCTGGCACGCAGAAATGAAAGCACGATAGAGAGAATCCTATCTATGGTCTTTTGCAATGAGTGCACAGGAAGTCCCCCGTGTTCCAGCTGAACGGCCAGGCCACCACTAACTTTCAGCACAAGAGCAGAAAGACACATTTTTTTTCTCATTTAGCCCTGTGAAGGCATGGCAAGAGATGGAAACACACACCTGGAAGGACTCTGAGCAGCACAGGCTGTGGCTCAGGGGGAAGCACAGAGAGCAACGCCCTGGTGGAAATAGCAGGTCCTCGGGGACAGCAGATTCCTCCTGCATCCAGTAAATGGGGTCTTGAGACAACTTGTTGCTGGGTGGAGGAGCACAAACTGGGAGGTGTAGGCACCAAAGCTGATAAACCCCACAGCATCTAAAACGACTGCAAGCGAAGATCATTACTTGCTGAAGTGCAAGGGCAATGCTCAACTAGGAGGCACATCTTTACTTGCAAGGGCCAGCAAAGTGGGGTACTAAGGCGAGCTGTTTAGTACAGCCACTGCTGCACCATGGCAAACACTCCAGCAGTGCCGAGACTATCGAAGACTGGGTGGGTGACAGCTTTTAGTGTCTCCTGGTGTAAAGTGTCTTCTCATTTTTCTCTTGCTCTCATCTTCCAGGCAGAAATAAAGAAAACAAGAAACTGGGCAGTCCCAGTACCACATAAAATGAAAGCTAGGACAGGAAGACAACAGTTGTCCCAAAAATCTGGTACAAGATACAGTGGTAGAGATCTGAGGAAATTTGGCTTAGGGTAAATTGCTGAACAGGGGGGCTGTGTTCTGCGGGAGCGGAAAAAGAGAGACTGACCTTGAAAAAGGAACACAAAGGCCCTCGGTACGTGTGGCAAGTTAGGCCAGCCTCAGCACTCATGCCACCCTCCCTGCTTGTCTGGTCACAGTAAGGATTGCGGGAGGACAAAGTGCAATTCATTACAGCACAGCCAAGGAAAAGCAAGCAGACATCCATGTTAAAGGCAGGCTTCTCTGGTTCTGCCCTTCCCATCCTGTCAGGCTTAGCAAGACTGCAGGACCTGTGGGGATCTAAGGTCACTTTATCTTCATGTAAGAACCAAACCTTGGGCCTTGTAACAAATCCCCAGCGGAGTTAGAAAGCAGACGGCACAATCTGCCCGCTCTATTTACAGCTGATTATTTAGCCTTTCTGTGCTTGGTTTTCTTAACAAAAGGAATATAAATACTTGTAGCTATTTCTTTTCATGTTAAGTCTTCTCAAACAAGAACTGTTCAACAAGCACAGGATGTTGTGGCAAGACCTAGACACAGGAAACTAATACCTGAGGAACAGTCAGTCTTCAAACTTGTGTACGCACCAGGTTTTCCCTTTCAGCCAATCCGGACAGCATTAACCCACCCATGTGAACCCAGGATACCCTGCCTAAACGAGGGAGCTCACCAGTGGCCACAGACCACCAGCACGCTGAAATACACAAAGCAGTTGTCACAAAAGGTCTGCTGGAAAGCAATGCATTCAGGCACTTCTGGCTTCCATTTCCCCCAGTTCACCAACTCTCTCCTTCCTTTCTCTTAGACTGTAGCTCTGTATTATTGAATTGCTGAAAGTAAGAAAAGAAAAAGCCCACTCCTGCTCTTCCTTCGACACTGGTGCAGCCCAGCTCGGTGGAATCAACCTTTGGTTTACACTGGGGTGTGTGAGACCAGAACCAAGGCCTTTGTAGCACAGAAATTTAGCAGAGAAAGCTGAGGAAAAAGTATGTGCTTTTGTAGCAGGGTTCAAGGGGCTTGCTGTTCAAGACACGATATTGGAAGCAAGCTTTTCCTGTCAAATGCCTGCTGACAAGAACTAGGAAAGCAGTTCTGAGATCGCACAATCTGCTTAAAAGTGAGAGGATGGTGTCGTCAATAGGGCTTCCTTCCTAGTCTGTAAAACCTAGATCTAAGTTTTTACAGACACAGGTACATCAAAATCAAACCCGATACCAAGTTAATGCAGTGAAGAAAGCACAAAACTTTCTTGATCAGAAGCTCTGCTGCTTTCAATAGCCAAAGAGGCAAGGGATTTTGGGGCTTCTTTGGATTCACATAGCTGGAATTTCAAGAGTGCCATACCTGCAGCCTGAGTTGCACTGCAGAAAGCATAGTCCCCTTCCTCACACTAAACTTAAGGCTTACAAGGTTGAAGTAATTCTTTCAGCCAACAAAGCTGAAAGAAAAATAGGCCACAAATATAAATGGGCAGATACACGTTAGCTTTTCTGAGCCATTCTGACATGAACAGATCATGTGTCTAAGCTGTTTCATACAAGCCAATAGTGACAGGGAGACGCTTTCAGGCAGGCAGATGATGCCTCAAACGAAGCTGTAAGCTCTGCTCATCCTCCTGCTGTGTGACAGAGCCTGTCAACAGAAAGGATTTGCTCTGACTCCTTTCTCTGGACAGGAAAGAAACCAGCCACCCAGAGCAAATAGACAAAGTCCAGTATCATAATTTCAAAATGATAGCTACATTGAACCGTAACAAAACTTGCTCCCAAGCCTGTTTGCACAGTTAATTCACACGATGTTCAGAAATGAAACAAGCATCAGAGACTGCTGCCAAAGTCAGGCAAGGATTCAGGAGGTGTGCAGCAACAGCTGGAATTTACTATTTCTTGATGGCACCTGACAAATGGACTGCCCAAAGTTTATGTTGTTCAGATACTAGCGGTGATGAGAAACCCCAGTCCCACTCCCCTGGGCTGCCAAGCTGTCCAGTCTCCAGCACGTCAGTCTGTCAGTCACCACACTGGGGTGTGGGATCTGGGGCTCCCGGGGCAGGGTCCAACATGCCCTCCTCCTTCCTTGGCACCCTGGCTAGGCAGCGAGTCTCACTCCAGCTGCCTTCACCAGCTCTGCAGCAAATCTTGCCCCACCTTACCTGTGTGAACTATGACCCAGTGAACTGCCAAAGCTCTACTGAAAGCTAAGTGACAACCAAATTCTTCAGCAAGTTTCAAGATAAGCTTTATTTACTTTAAAGGAGAAAAAAAAGCCTGGGATACAGTGTTTACATTCAGTCGGTTGCCTACATAAATTAAAACATTTGTGTGGCACGTATTTCCATAGCCAAGCGTCTCCTATTGGCTGACATCACAGTAAAACCTTAGATTGTGCATAGTCACCACACAGTTATAAATGCAAGTAGTGAAGTCAATGGAGAACACCTCCCAGCTCAAATCCTCTTGTGCTGCTGCAGGTTCAGCATGGCAACATTTCTTACTCATTTCAGAAGAGCAAAACAGTCCTTTTCAAGATGCTTTAGAACAGATTTTGACTATCTGACATCTTCCAAATGAGTGGAATTTTAAAAGCAACTCCTCTGTCTTTTCATTTGGATTGGCCAGATCACAGACTGCACTGAGATTCCTGAGCATTTACTTAAGGTTTCTGCATTTGTCATCTGCCACAGGACACAACCGCAACTGCTTTGAATCCAGCCAGCATTGGGTTTATCTGTGAAGAGGCTCATGAGCACAGGTGATCCTGCCACGTTCTCTGGCAGGAGGGGTACACTTCTCTACAAAGGTGTTCTAACCAAGGTACTCTCTGGCTCCTCTTCAGAAACCTCTGCTGAAACCTGTCTTTGGGAAGTTGCCTTCTCGGAGTACATTTTCCCCCGTAAATACTTGCCAGTCTGAGGTAACACTTTTAACTTCTCCATCTTGTGGTGATTTGTTTTCACAAATCTTAGCAGGTTAACGATAGCAGCTGGTGTAATTCCAGGGATGCGGCTGACTGCACCAATCTGCATGTGGAAGCAGGAACAAGTCAAGCAAGAACAAACCTACACACCGGAGCTAGCAAGATACGAAATCAAAACCTGTGCATATTCCTCTCCCCAATTCTTCTCACCCACCATGTCCCTCGGGAATACACAGAAGAGATTTCATTGCTGCTCAACGTTGCTATAGCCCAGTATCTTACCGTCTGGGGACGGTTAGAGTCCAGTTTCTCCCGCACCTCGGCGGACAGGGACGCATCAATGGCAAAGTAATCTAGGTCCTCTGGCAGTTGGAGGGCTTCATCACGACGCACTTCTTCTATTTCCTGCTGTTGATTGACTACACACCACTCATAAGCAGCTGTGGTGAAAGATTAGGGAACAGACAGACATGTTCATGTGAGACAGGTCAGTTGCACAAATTCTTGGAAGCAGAATGAGCAATTCCACTGAGACGGTCAAAAGCTCCTAAGGAAGTTTCCAGCCTCACAGACTAAAGAGCCTAACTCACATTACCACTTTGGAAGAAATCATACTCTTTGTTAAAGGAATTAAGATACACAGTTGGCTTTTTTCTCTCATCGCAGGAAAGGATGGTCTATTTGACAGAGCAGTAAGGAGGAAAAACCCAGGAGTGAACATGAATAATTGATCTCACCCCACAAAGTGAAACACAGGTGCCTGCAAAGGGCTGTGGCCTATGGTAAAAGGTGCACGCTGACAATGTTTCATTTCACTAAGCAGCAACATGAAGCACCCTGGGATGAACGAATGGGCTGGCTCTCTCCTTAATGAACAAAACCTACACAGATCCCACAAACTCTTGTACTTTACCTTCTATTTTCAATCTCTCTGCCAGTTCTCTCCATTGAGCAAGCTTTCCCAGGGGCTCTGGGATAGCTCTTGCCAGAAGCTCCATGTTGGCCTCCGGATACTGAAGGATGTCAAAGGCACTGTGGAGAACAAGATTAAGTTTCTAGGGTTAGGAAGCAGTCACTTGTGTAAGGCAGATTTACAGCTGTTCCCAGTTCAAACTTGTAAAGATCTCAGCATAAGCTGTAACAACTGCAGAGCCAAGCTTATTTCCCTGCTATCTCCTCTCAGTACACAGAAGAGCTGTTAAAACTCTCGAAGAGGGCTCTTTATGAAAAACAAAGGGACAAGGTAAAAGCACCAAGGGGAACCTTTCACACAGACCAAGTCAGCCAGGTTCTAGTCACTGATTTAAAACAACAGAGAAGGTAAGGTGAGATAAAGGAGGGGTACGGGAAGCAAGGGCCTTTGTGTGCAAGAATAGCTACCATTTGACACTAGCCTGAAATCAACTCCTGCTTTATCAAACTTCCAGCAAAGCAGGAACCTACTGCAAAACTGTCAACACTTGGTGACACTCTCAGTAAGGACAGCAAGAACTGACTGGGCCACTGGAGCACCCTCTTACTTGGGGTGCCTATGTCAGCACCAGGAAACGCAGCACTGTAAACACACCAGAGTTGCACTTCTTCTATAGGCAAAGATCAGATGTCCATCCCCTGAAGGTGATAAAGCTGAAATCTTGAAGTACTGATGGCTTCAGGAAGGACAAACAAATGCTGTAGACACCACTAGCCAGATGTGCTAATGCAAGCATATGTCAGACTAGAAAGCTTCAGCTGTAACCTTTACCTGACAGGTGACCTTCGACTACTACTGATGGTAACTTCTGGTATTAACTGGGACCATTTGGATATGCTGAACTGAAGGGATTTTAATGTTGCAATTCCATCCTCTAAAGCAGTTCTCATCTTAACTGCTTGTTCATATCGCTGCTGTGACACACACCCAGCTTCCTCAAAACCTGCAGAGACAGATGGTGTATGAGACAAAGGTCTACAACCAGGCAGGGCTGCTCCCTGCAAGAGCCACCGTAATAAAATACCTCTGTGGGTGAGCCTGGCATCAGCATTGTCAGGCCGGAGAGACATGCGGAACTCCACACGGCTGGTGAACATACGGTACGGCTCGCTGGTGCCCAGAGTGGTAAGGTCGTCAATCAGGACACCAACGTAGCCTTCGGTGCGACTGACAATGAAAGGGGGCTTGCCATGAACCCGTAGGCAAGCATTGATTCCAGCAATCACGCCCTGGGCAGACAGAAAACAAAACAAAGACATTCATCAGTCTCTTCATGGCTAAAATATCAGCACATCTGCCTCCAAAGACTCATGTGTTAAGCTGTACCCCGGGAAATGCAGCAGTCTGTGCCAGTAATCTGCGCAGTTTCTTCCTCCCAACAGGACTGTCTGAAGGGCTTCTTGGCCCCTGCTGACATGACTAGAGGCAATTCCCACATATTTTCAATCATACCCATTGCACAGTCTCCATGCTGAAACCTTTGACAGTGCTTCCAATTAGTTTTGTTACTGCAATCTCAGTAAGAGCAACTATAGATACTAAAAGTAAAAATATCTGGGCAAGTCTGGTATCAGAGTGAGCAACAAAAGTAAGAACATCTCATTAGCACAAGATGGGCCTAGCAAGACTGCACATCAAAGACAAATGCCAAGGCAATATCCTTTTCTGAGAGCTGACTACACACGATCAGCTTCACCCACCTGAGCTGCAGCTTCTTCATAGCCTGTAGTGCCATTTACCTGGCCTGCAAAGAAGAGGCACTGAACAAGACGAGACTCAAGAGAAGCTGTGAGTTGACGAGGATCTAAAAAATCATATTGCACCCCGTAGCCTATGACAAACAAAAAGACAGATCTTATGGAAGGGATTTTGAAGGTCCCTATTTATCAACAAAGGCAATCAGTGGGGCAGAGTGATGTAGGTTATCAACTTTCATTTACAATTTAAGAACAACAAGGAAAAACCTCTGCATCCAAGAATTAATTTTGTTCTGTTTTTCCTTTGTGTTGCTATGCTCTCAACAAAATCTATTTTTTATTAACTGGTAACCAATATGACGAATAGGTTTAAAACTGTTCACCCCCCTCACCTGGCTGTAAAATCTTAGCTTTTTCCAAGCCTGGGATGGATTTGATCACCTGCTCCTGGAGCTCAGGTGGTAGTGTCATTGACATGCCTTGAGGGTAAATGACACTGGACTCCAAACCTTCTGGCTCCAGCCACACCTGATGTGCTCGGTTTGGGAAGCGCAGAATCTTTGATTCAAGAGAGGGACAGTACCTGCAACAGGAAATAGCCATAGGCATCACCTGACACAGAGAAAAAGTAACTTTCCAGAAGCAAAGCAGGTGAGACGCACAGTTTCAGATACACTGTCAGCTCACACCAGTGAGAGCCTTGCATGATGCCACATACTTACCGTGGGCCCCTTGTTGTCTCCCTTACATGGTTGTTCAGGTGGAGGTTATTATTGATAATTTCTTGGGCTTTCAGGGTAGTGCGAGTCAGGTAACACGACAGCTGATCTTCTGGCTGCAAGAGGACAAAGCTCACTTTAAGTTAATCCAGTCACAACACTCTTACTGAACAACTCTGCTTGAGGATCTTCAAGGGCTTTTCCATGACAGGTAGCTCTCACTTCCTGGGGAGATGGGTAGTGCTGTCATACTCACATCATCCATCATACATACATCAGAGAGCTTGAGCAACATGCCCAAAAGCAGACCAAGAACAGAATTTGGGAGTCCAGAATTCAAGTTTTACTCTGTACACTAATTACAAGGTAGATATTCCTTTTAAAGCAACACACTGTATCACAGCATTCAGGAATTAAAAACTGAAGGAAGAGGAGTAAGTGGTGACCCTACTGCTAACAGCCAGCTAAAGAGTTTAGTGGGAAAAAAAAAATCTCTCAAAACCCTGCAGTTAACCTGGAAAATTCAAGGCTTGGGAAAAAACCACCATGTAAAGTACTTCACTGCTTTTCTGAAAAATAATCAATAGACTCACATTCAAAATAGTAATAGTGTTCCACCTCAACTCCTTAAAACCTTTCCTACATATACCAAGGACTTCAAGTGATATTGCTTTTGCCTCCATCCTGATTCTAAGAGGTTCTGGGGCAAATTAACTCCTGATACTTAATTCAGTGCTGTTTAACTACATTATGTAAGAACGTAATCCATTTTTCAATATTTTCTTTGGAAAATTGAGTTTCTTCTGCTTTTAAGTTACTGATAACGTGCCACCTCTGAGCTCTTTGGATAACTCCATCCTTTCTCTTTCCTAGTCAACATTATTAATGATCTTCAATTTCAACATTTTAATCTCTTATTCTAGAGCTGAGGTAACCAGCAAGACATCATAAATCTCGACAATACAAGTCTCATACTGCAGTATTCTGTGAACCGCCCACGTAACCAGCACATGAAGAATACTACTAATAACATCATATTTCACGCAATGTTGACTCTAAAAGTAAAGTAAGTTTGGTTCTCAAGCTGAGAAGTGAGAGCAAAAAGGCACTTGCTTTCAAAAGAAAACAAGCAATTTCTCCCTTTCCATTGAGAGTCCTCAAAAACGCAGCACCTCCAGTATGAACACAGCCCAGCTCCCTTTCCCAGCCATCAACTCCCTGTCTGATTCCAAGTGTGACATTCCCAGAACCACCTCCCACCACCCCACCTGGCTCTATGTGCATTTAACGTGTGCTATCCCACCTTGATCCACACAGCCTCGCTGAGGAAGCTGAACGGCACTGGAGGATTGTCAGCTGTGCGCTCTTCCAGACCACTGAAGTCAATCGTATCTTTGGCAAGTCGGGGCGGCGTCCCAGTCTTCAGCCTGCCCACCGCAAAGCCCAATCTCTCCAGAGTTTGAGCCAGCCCAATGGCTGGCTGGTCCCCTAGCCGCCCAGCTGGGTGCATCTCCAGTCCGATGAGGATCATACCCCTCAGAAATGTACCGGTGGTCAGGATAACACTTCCAGCATGTACGGTGCTCCCATCCCCTGAAACAGCAAGTTTTCAGAGATGCATATCGTTTAGTACTAACAAAGCCCTGCTATTCTGGTGCTTCTGTCTAAAACTAGACTAGCAGCATTCACTGAGGATTTATCCGCCTTTTATTATTTAACAAAATCAGCATTTCATTAACAAAAGCATTAATAGTAATAACTGCAGTAAGCAGCATATAGTTTTTCCTACATTTTTCTTATTCCTAAGCATGTTACCCCTAACAAAGAAAACCCACTCCTGGGAACAATTCCTATCCAGGCCTTTATTTCGGAAAGCCTGTCTACTAGAACAGCAGCAGGTAATAAAGCATGAATCTGGTACTAACAGGACACCACTGCTGTGTAACATTGTCAGCAGCATATACCATTTACTAAATAAAATCTCAAAATACAAAATGGAATTCAGTATCACTAGTCTGAAGTAAATTAAACTTATGTAACCTCCCAGTATCCTATCAATCCAGGTATTTTTTTCATTGTATTACAGATATTAACGTAGTTCAGTTCACAGTCATCCTAGACCACTTCTATCGGCCACAATTCAGCTTTCTCACTGATGAACCGGAAATGTTTACCCCAAAGGCTGCTCTTAGTGTAGAGCAACTGAAGGTGATTACCGAGCTATGAGCACATACCCAGAACGACTCCTGTGACTCGGCATTTCCCAGGATGGTCTGGTTCTGGCTCTGTCAAGAGAAGATCCTCCACAGATGCCTCATGAACTGTCAACAGTGGTGTGTTAAGGATTTCTTTCTGTCATGAAAGGAGTTACTGGAAAAATCTAGGAAGGTCTGAGACACGTTGGCAGCCCCAAACCCTTCTGATTTCCAAAACATGTCACCCTCTTCCCCTTTTCTTTCTTACCGTCAGTTGGCAGGCACTTGATTACTGTTCTATACTGATCTACCAAGTAGAACTTTTTATTCATGGATAACAGTTTAATCTCAAAAGAAACTATTTGGTCATGAAGCCTGACCTGTATATAAAATGCTAGAGAATTTTTTTAAACTGTGCTGAGCTCCAGTAACTTACAATGCACTAAAGTACAAAAAAATAAAGGTATCTAGGTTCAATAGGAAGATATTAAAAAACAAACCACCTCCCCATCACCCTCTATAGTTTATCCCAGCACCTTCAGATGTGAGTGATTCATTCTAATACTCCAGCATGCAAACACACACAAACAAAATCCCTGGAAACAAAACAGTGTTTTAAAACTAGTCAGCAGCTTTAACAGTAGCTGCCATTTTTACCAGACTGTGTTTGTAGATACCCCCACGCATGGTTAACTCTCA